GGGGGGGGGGGGTGTACACCAGCACTCCTGGCCCCTTGGGAGTAACCAGATTGGGGAGGGGAACTGCTAGGGGAAATCCACCCACCATACCAGCCTCTTTTTTGCTGCCACTGTCTAGACTGTTGACCTTTGACCTCTCTACCCCTTGAAGTGTCTGAGCCAGAATTCCCCTTCAAGGATGGTGGACAAAGCCCCGCTCTTCAGTGTGTCCCTGGCCTCCACCTGAAGACTGAGCCTGCAGCCATTGTGGCACTAATGGTGGTCGCAGGGGCAGAGGCAGGGCACCTTAGCACCAGGTTGCCCCCCCAACCCTCATGGCCATAAACTCCATGGCATCTGCAGACTTAGAGGAGCCAAAAAGGGCTTTGTTCCAGATTCTAAATGAAATTTCCCTTCTCCAGGCACAAGTGCCTTGTAAGGGCCTGGGGCTGCCCCTGGGTGAGAAAGCACGTTCAAGGCCAGGGTCTCGCTTAGGGGACACATCCAATGTTACACCTTGAAAGTCAATACCTAGATGGATGGTGAACATGCCTGCCAAAAGGCCCTGTCCTCTGGTTCAGGGACCGTTATCACAAGCTGAGTTTCAGGGGCTCCCAGATCTTGAGGGGCTTCAGTCCTGTCCTGAGCTGCACTCCCCTCTCCCCACTCTGAATATCCATTTTGCCTCCTCCCTCTCCTCACCCAGGCCTTTCCTTCAGCTACCCAGAGACCCACAGAAGTGCCTGCGTCTCCCATAGGAATGGGGCGCAGAGAGGAGGGTAGGATCCCATTCTTTGGGAGTTGGCTCTGGCTCCTGACTGCCCATTCACAGGGGTGGGGCCTGAGGTGAGCAGTTTTCCTGTCCTATATTCTTTATCTCCAGGAAATCCCAGAGAAAGCCGGTTTGGAACAGGCTCTCAGCTCCCAAGGCCTGTGGAAACCCCAGAGCCATGGGCGGCGCCACCTAGATCACGGGTAGTGGAGTTGGCTTTCCATCTGCCCTGGGGGTACCTGGCGTGTTTCTGGGGATCCCCCAACATCTCAGGAATAATATCTCTAGAAAATAAACCTTTCCTGCCCAAGGTGACCATGTCTTCTGTCCCCTGAGGGGACCCCTGCACCCTCAGGGTGGCTTCTCCCTCACCCCCAGAGTTCCTGTCAGTGCCTTGTCTGAAACCCATGCCTGGGAAGTATCTACCAGACTGCTGGGGGCTGGGCCCTGGGAGACCCCAAACTTGACACCCTAAAAGCAAATAAATCAGTTGAGATATGTGGTTTCTTGCCTGTCTTTGTGAGAAGTTGGCGTTCACTGGGGTCACCTTCAACCTGGGGGCATCAGTGGGCAGAGGGGGCCTCAAATCACCAGAATTTCTAGCCTTGGTGTGTGACCTGGGGCCTTTGTTCTGATGCACAGAGGTTGGGTAGCTTGCTCATGGTTACACTGCAAGGGGGTGTTCCTGGGATTTGAATCGTGATTGTGTAGACTGCCAG